TGCATGAGTACTGCTCCCAATCCATACTATGCGTCCGTCTCCACTAAAAAAAAATTGACTGAAATCTGGTAGGGTCAAGACCGATATGGTGATCATGACCTTCTTTAACCTCTCAAAAGCTACTGTGGCCGCCTCCCCCCATAAGAAGTTATCCTTCTTCGGGTGTTTTGTCTGTGTCCAGGCGATGGTGTTGTAGTCCCTCACAAACCTCCTGTAGTATCTTTTCAATCCTAAAAATTCTCTCAACTCCCTCAAATTCTTGGGCAGTGGCCATCTCAGCATTGCCTCAATCCTCGCCTGGTCTGTGGCCACACCCTCCTAAGATACTACATGCCCCTAATACTCCACAATAGCCTATGCAAAACAACATTTCTTCAAATTTTCCCTTACTTGTTGCTCCTACAACACCTCTAGGGCCATCCTCAAGTGCTCACAATGTGTCTCATCTGACCTGCTATATACCAGGATATCATCAAAGAAAACCAACACAAATATACTGATATAGAGCCTGAACACCTTGTTCATTAGGGATTAGAAGGTAGTTGGGGTATTAATGAGGCCAAAAGGAGTCCCAGAAACTCATAATGTCCCTCATGTGTTCTGAAAGCAGTCTTTAACATGTCCTTTTTTATACGAATCTGATGGTACCCGGGCATCAGATCTATCTTGGTGAATATAACTGCTCCACTCAGCTCATCCAATAGCTCATCTATCACTGGGATAGAAAACTTGTTTGGCACAGTTTCCTTATAAAAAACCCTATAATTTACACAGAATCTCTAACTCTCATCCTTTTTCTTAACTAATAACATTGGATTAGAAAAAGAGCTCACACTAGGCCGAATAATCCCTGCCTCCAACATCTCTCTAATCAATTTTTCAATTTTATCCTTCTAAAATTGAGGGTAATAGTATAGCCTGACACTGATGGGTGACACCCCTCCCTCAGAGTGATGGCATGCCCCTGCTCAATTGCTGGTGGCAATCCTTGAGGTGGCTAAAAGACCTTGCTGAATTATTGTATCAGCGGTTGTATTGGACGAATATCTCAACCCTCCTCCAATCTAATCCCTTCTAATCTCTATAGCTCCATCAGTTTCCTTATAAAAAACCCTATAGTTTACACAGAACCTCTAACTCTCATCCTTTTTCTTAACTAATAACATTGGACTAGAAAAAGAGCTCACACTAGGCCGAATAATCCATGCCTCCAACATCTCTCTAATCAATTTCTCAATTTTATCCTTCTAAAATTGAGGGTAATAGTATAGCCTGACATTGATGGGTGACACCCCCTCCCTCAGAGTGATGGCATGCCCCTGCTCAATTGCTGGTGGCAATCCTTGAGGTGGCTAAAAGACCTTGATGAATTGTTGTATCAGCGGTTGTATTGGACGAATATCTCCACCCTCCTTCAATATAATCCCCTCTAATCTCTATAGCTCCACCAGAAATCCTCCCCCCCCCCCCCCCCCCCCCCCCCCCCCCCTCCCAAAACTGCCCTTCTAAGAAAATGCAGCAAATTACATTAAAACTAAAAAAAGAATAAAAACTACAAACTCAAAACATTAGATTCCTCCTTTAACAAATACATAAAAGAAGTAGGAACCTTATTCACACTAAATTCATCCCAAATAAAAGAACTCAAAATACCATAGTTATGACCCCCCCTCCTCCCCTCCACTACCAGCTCCATGGTCAATGCCCCCCAATTAACCTTGGTACTCCCAAGGTTTGCAGCCATTTCATTCCCAGGATGACATCAATAATGCATATCTCCAATGGGATAAAATCATTCCTCACTTGAATACCCTGTATGATCAACATTACTCTCCTACATGTGTTCGTACCCATCTCCATCTTTCTCATGCCCATAATCACTCAATAGCTCCCTATATCCACCAAGGTAACCCTAACCAACAATTGGTCCATGACTTAGTTGGAGATGAAATTATGGGTAGCCCCACTGTCAATCAACACCATCACCTCTCGGTCTACTACTTCATCCTTCACCTTCATAGTATGGCTATGAATAAATCCTACCACAGAGTTCAGGGAGACCTCTGCTACGTCCAGATGCAACTTGTCCTACTCCTCTACCCTAGTCTCACTCCCAAATACAAAAAAAATAATTATTCGGACAAGGGAAACAACTGCAGGAATCAGACCAAACAGCCCCAAATCAGCTCCGGAAAGCAGCTTTGATACCAAATTGATAGGAAACCCTTGCAGATCTCAAGCAAAAATTTTACAAGAAATCTGAATTTAGTGAGACTTCACAAGAAATCTCCACTCAAACTCAGGAAAAACAACAAATAGATGGCAGGAATTAATGAGAAACATGAAGAAAATGGCATGATATAATTGATCCTCTATTCGATAGGAGGAAATTTTTCTCTCCCAATTCTCTAGACGTCGTTAGAGCCCAAAAATACTAAGGAAAACCCAGAATTTCAACAAACAATCAAAGATAGCCCTAACCCTAATTCCAACCTCCTATATAAAACACACAAAATAACTCCCCAAAAAGACTAAACAACCCTTATAATTCAAAATTTTCCCTCCTAATCTCTCTTCCTCGCTCTCTCTACTTATGCACTGGGCCCCATTGAACCCCCTAGGGCCAAACCACTGCAGCCTAGATCGGTCCCTCCTGGACCAGTATATCACAAGCCTGATTTATCTTTTTTTGCTGTGAACAAACTTTGTAAGAACAAGCATAAACATTTCAATGCCATCTAAAGCTCCTCAAACATATTCTTCAGTACATCAATGGAACTCTTCATCATGGCCTATCTATTCAAAGAGGAAATCTCAAACTCCATGCCTATTCTAATTTCGATTGAGCAAGCAATTCTACTAATCAGAAGTCCACAACCGATTATTGTGTGTATATTGCAACACTCATATTTCTTGGAGTGCAATAACAAAATCAACAATTGCTTGCTACTCCACATAAGAAAAATATTTGCTTTAGCTACCATTGATATTTATCTCATTAGGCTTCTCTGTCTTTGTCGAGAGTTTGTTATTCCTCTAGAGCCAAGACAATTGCTACCAATATTTCATGCTCATATAAAGTACAGAGAAATTGATCAACGTCATTAGGCAATGTGTTCTTTTGATCGAAGTCCACAACCAATTCTCATAGGTATCTTGGCAACACTCCTATTTCTTAGAATTTAAAAAAAAAAACAACAACAACAACAACAATTGATCATTCTTGTCCAGAAGCAGAATATCTAGCTTTAGCTACTGTTGCTATTGATCTCATTTGGCTTCGTTGTCTTTATCAAGAGTTTGCTATTTCCCCGCAGACTACTCCATTATAACAATATATCAGTCATGAAAATTGCTAACAATCAAATATTTTATGCTCGCACATAGTACATAAAGATTGATCATCACTTCATTACATAATGCATTTTTTTCATACAAATCAAGGCAGCTAAATCAAATCCAATTACTCTCATAATCCAGCAGCCAACTGCTGTGTATGTTCATCTCCCTGACTATTTGTTGATGCTATGATAGCTACGGCCTCATCTTCACCATTCCCTTATGACCACCTCTACGATACCAAACATTTGTGAAAAGCTAAACCTCTCTGATACAATCATTTTTATGAATTTGTCTTAATGGCTCAAATATCTCAAAAAAATAAAATATAAAACAAAGCTAAAGCTGATGTACCGAACAACCGTAGTGATACATATCAATCTAACAGTCAAGATAGTCTTATACAAATTACTGTTGGAGAACCAGCACAAGCCCAAAGTCACGAAGGTGGAGAAGAAGTTAGTGGGCCCATAATTAATAACATAGTCAGATCATTAAATATTAATCTCCTCCGAGTGATTTAATAATTGTCTTAATAGAATTTTTAGCAATTTTTGTATTATTTTTTCTGAAAATTGGATGGTTGGAGATGTTTTGTGTCAAAATTCAGCCCCTAATCTCAGGTTCTATGTTGGACTTTCCAAGAACCGAAAAAACCCTTCCCTCCAACCACCCAGCCCTCTCTCTCAAGACCGCTCAGAATTCAAAATTCTGCAAACAATGGAATTCAGAAATTCTGTAAACAACGTAATTCAGAATTCTGTAAATTTCTGTTCTTCAATCTAATCCTTCTTCCTCCATTTCTGCCGCCAGAACCAGGTCAACCGCACCAATCAGGGTAAATTCAGTTCATATTTAAGCAGGATTCTCTGCTTAAACCTAAACGACTTGTAAGATCGTATCACGGAGGGTATAAAGCCTTTATATAAATATAACTACATCTATGTATTGAATATATATATTCTAGTTCTATCCAGCATTCTGTGTAAAGTTTGAATAAATTAACAAAGGTTTGCACTCTCACTATTCTTCTTCATTTCTTTCTTATGCTCTGATATCTTCTTCTTCATTTTGATTTTCCTCAAATTGTATACAGTTACAACAATCTGAAAGAAAGCTTCACATAAAGAAAATTAAGATATACAACCTTCCTTAGCTGCTTCAAATCCTACATGAGGTCTTAGATTTGAGGCCTTGCACATACAATTTTGTGTGAATTTGCAATTCAATTCACTAAAAGTCCTTAAAAAAGTGTGTGATAGAGAGAGAATGAGAGAGGAGAATGGAACTTTGAGAAGAAAAAAAAAACAACAGCATTTCATGTTCTGAAGTATGGGGAAAACCCAAAATAGTCTTCAACTCCTTGTATGTAGGCAATTTAATCACAAAGTATCATATTTCTCTAATAATGTCCCGCACTTATACAAAATTGTTCCTAAACAATTTCTTAAGGTATAAATTGACATAAATTTAGTCCGTCTTGCTTATACAAAATTGATCCTAAATGATCCCCCTCAAGGACTAAATTTGTATCAACTTTGTATAGGTGATGAAATAAATTAGAGAAATGTGATACTCTGAGACTAATTTAATCACATGCAAATAATTGGGGGATTATTTTAATTTTGTATAAGAACAGCAACAAGACAAACACAAAGCTTAGCAAAAACACAAACAAATTCAAAATTTATGTTCTCCAACAACTTTTAAGTAGCAATTCCTGATAATAAGAAAAGACAGAATATGGATAAATCTAATAACCTTGCTGATAAACCTGAGCTTCTTAGAAATCCAAGCAACAATTCAAATTTCTAAGGCTCAACAGTAGTCACCTGTTGCCATTCCCCATCAACAGCTTCCTTCCACAAAGTAACATTATTATTACCATCAGCTACAGCCAATATATTCCCAGTCAGCGACCATGTCACCCTCCAAACAGGCGTCTTAAAATCATACAAAACTTTCCCCTGCCATTGATCACCTTCCTTCCCAACTGTCCATATGACCACTGTCCCATCCTGTGAAGCACTAGCAATTGTTGATTTAGGAAGACCGAGATTTGGAGCCCAAGCCACATCCCTCACCCAGTCTCCATGCATCTGAAGAGCAGGAAAACAATCCATCTTCCAGTTCCCATTGTACAGTTTCCAAACCTTGACAGTATTGTCACAACCACCTGAAGCTAGTTTTTGTACAGGATCAAGAGGCCCTGCACCAACTAAGGCCCCAGGAGCCAATGCTGGAGCCCATGAAACAGATGTCACGCCAACAGGATGAGCCTGATCTATCTTAGCACCATCCCAACCTCCGTCTGCTCGAGCTGTGAAGACTGAAATGTTACCGTCGGAAGAACCGCAGGCCAAACAAAGACCAAGCTCGTGAGGCGCCCAAGCAATGGAATTAACTGAAGATTTGTGCTCGGTGAAAACATGTGACTGAGTCCACTCATCAGGTTTGCTGCCTTCCTTCCATATGATGACACGACTGTCGTAACTGCAGGAGGCAAGCATTGATCCAAACTTGGGGTGAGCCCATGCAACTTGCCAGACAGGCCCCTGGTGGCCGCTTAAGGTTGCTAGGTGCTGATGCGAAGAGCCGCTGACGCCAATGATCTTGATGGTTGTGTCTGAGGAAGCTGTGGCCATCCGTTTGCCATAATAGTCCATGGCCACATCATGTACCACATCTTGGTGTCCAGTTTCTATCTTCTGAGAAGGCATCGCTGAAATTCAGAATAAAAAGTTTTGCTTTCCTTTCCACTAAATGATACCTGCAAATGCAATGGATTTCAGTATGTAAATATTCTTTAAGAAAGAAAAAAACAGTATAGCAGTATGACATTAGATATCAAATAACATAGCCTTCACTAGGACAACTAATAGGGGGTTCGTAAATTGCAAAATTAACCATATCAGGCAAACTAATCATCATCATCATTTCTCCAACTGTATGAATTGGCTTTAGGAATCCCTCTTAACCATTCATTTGTTCTAAGAGCATAATGAAAGCATGGAGATGAATACATTCATGCTATTTTCTCGAAAAATAAAATAAAATAAAAGCCAAAACAAATCAAAAATAGATACAAAAATGGCAAAAGCATGTAGAACCTTTCTCATTATACATTTATTTTAGATCTCCAAGAGGCATAATCTTACATATTTATAGATATAGAAAGTCCAAAATAATCCCCCAACTATTAGTAAGTGGCTAATTTAATAAGTGCCAATTTTAATAGTCGAGGGATCAAATTGAGACATTGCGATATTATGGAAATAAATTCATCACTTGCTAATAAATAATCAAGGGACTCTCTTGAGCTTTTTCTATTCATATATATGCAAACTAGAGTGAGTTCGGTAAACCTTCAATGAATGTTAAACTCTCTCTTCCTTTTTAATTTATTATGGGCCCACCTTTTGCTAATCCACATGATTGTTGACCTCTTACCTATCTTCCTCTTGATGAGCTTCTGTTCAAGATAGGTAGATAAGAGGCCAACAACTATGCACATTAGCAGGAGATGGCCGCCAATATGTTTAAAAAAAAAAAAAGAAATAGTTGATCATATAGTGAAGGTACCCTAAACCCACTCATGTTTACATGCATAAATATGTATGAAAATCTCTGCATCTCAGGTATCTAAAATAAAGTGGATGAAGAGAAAGGCTCTATATGTCTTTGCCATCTTTGACATCTACTTTGAGTTCATTAGGCATTTGGTTTATACCCGAGCCGACCATATCTTTTTCAATCAAATATAAGAACAAAAACCTGCTCATTATCAAATAAGCTAAGCAGATCAACAAGCAAATGCCAGAAGTTATATGCATTACATGATGAATTTTACAATGCATCGGACTAAAAGAAAGTTCTAAAATGAGGAAACAAATATAGCATCAATTCAGAAGTCTTCTTGTCACATTTCAAAAGTCCAAGCATTGTAGGTATTCTGATTAGAAAAACGTTGGCTCTTTCTCAATGAACAAACGAAGAGGTGCAACTGCAACATGAACATTCCTCTCAACATGTATTATTTCAAATTAAACTTAACTGATCTTCATATATTAAGTGTTCACTCTTGAATAGGTCACTGTTCTTATTCTAAATCTATATTTCAGGGTTTCAATTTTTAGATAGAATGGCCAATTCCAATGGAAATCCAAGATCACCTCTATCATATATGGATCACTTCTATCATGGATAATTGATCAAACACGTGATTTTAGACGCACAAAAAATGGATGTTTCTTTGCTTGATGTATTGATATGTTTAGTAAAAGAAGTAGAAGAGAAGGGAGAAAGTAAGATCTATGTGAGACTCGCACTAAAAAGCTGATTCTATTCATTTTAAAACAATAGTAACAATAGAGTTACACCGTTATGCAAAATGCAACATTATTGAGTCTGGTCGCACTTAACACATCTTTAAACCTACTATGATGTGGAAATGAAATTTTATAATCATGGTGTGACTTGAGTTCTACTAATACAAATAATCAAAAAAATTCACATTCTGCAATGTAATATTAAATTAATAATTGAAATATAATTTGCCTCGAGCACTAATAGGATTAAAACAGCAAGCAAGCAAATGTTTGGATAATCAATTTGATTTAGTATTAGACAAATCCTCTATAGGAACAAGTTATGAGCTAAATAATAATGATAACAAAAATATAGAGAGGAAATACAAGACCTTCAAATTATTTTTATTAATCTTAAGAGTGTTTATGATCACATATTAAGAGGGAAAAAAGGCATGTCAAATTTCCGTTAAAGTTATTAATATTATAAATGATATGGCCATATCTAATATTAGAAGAAAATAGGAGTGACCAAAGAACTCCTAATTATAGTATATTACATCAATGATCAAATTAAGTTTGTATCCTTTGTATTGGTAAAATAAATTTTTCTATAATTTATTCAATGTGAGGCCTATTGATTTATCATTTTCCAATATGACATAATTCAAATTGGTTAGACATATTGGAAAGATTAAATAGTGGGGGAAAATTAGGAGATAAAGGATTTAAGGTTGGAAGAATAAAAACTGATAATATAGTATGCAATTTCAAGAGATATAACAAACAATATTATAAAAAGATAAAATGGTATGTGTGTGTGTGACAACAATATTATGCAATAAGAGAATATTATAAATTGTAATTACGCCAATTATGTTTTATAGATCGGAGTTTTGAGTGGTTGAGAATGATATTGATGACCTAGTTAAAACATGACAAAAATGATAATTTAATATGAATATGTGAACAAATTAGGAAAGCTGGATTAAAGAATAACTATATAAAAGGGAAACTAGGTGTGACATATACTTAAGATAAAGTAGTGTTAAATAAACCTATGTGATAGACATATACCACAAAAGTATAAAATATACCCATAAGATGAGTAAATACATTTAGTTGAAGGGTTAGAAAGATGAAGAGATAAAAACCAATGTAACATAAATCAAAGTATGCAAAAAAGAATTGCACAACATAACTGTAACAACACACCATGTAGCACTCAATATAAATGAACAAGGAATCAGGATTAATGCAGACCTCAACGGTTGAGGCAAAGCTAATGATGCCAAGTAAATTAATGCTAAAATATCTTGCAGCAGGACTACTAGTTCAATCTTATTTAGGTTAGATCTAAACAGTTACATATTCAAAATGCACAGAGCCACAGACAAAACCTTAGATACAATTTTTCTAGATTCCACAGAAGTGCGACAAGAAACATTCAAAAACTTAAACATAAAAATCAAATGGTGTTCTGAACAACAGAAACTTCATAGAGGATCAATTTGATGCAACACAAGAAAAACAACATTAATAATGTGCAATACGCAATAGTAAAATCATTATGTATGCTGTAATACATGAAAGTAACATGAACAAAATATTCTTCACACAACAACGATTTCAAATACTAAAATTTAATGTAATCAAGGTGAGCTAAAAACACTATATTATAGCGCAACATATTATGTAACAAATTTCACCAAAAAAAACCACACGATTCATCTATTTTACAAAATTTACTAATTTAGGCCCAATTCTGCATTGCATACAAATCTATGAACCAACAGAGAACGACGAGGTTTGAATTGAGAGATAAAACATCCAGATCTAGGTTTGAGATGGAATAGAAGGGGCGGATGGAAGCGAGTTTCTAGGCCCGTCGTCCTACCAGAAGATAAACGAATAAAATGGATCGTAGTTCAATCGCCATGATAAACTCATCCGAAAGTTCGTGAAACAATGAAAGGAGTAAAACCAACCGACGGAGAAGAAGAGAACACGCAGGGCGGGCTAACCTAGATCTAGGTTTTTAAGGTAACGCAAATCTCATCTCAACCAGTTGAGATAAGTGTGATGATGATAAATAAGTTTTTTAAGGTTCTCGATCTAGATGAAGGAAAGGGGAGAGTACCTCGCCGATCCTTCGATTCAACGGCGGCTCCGATGTGCGTCAACTGCGAGGAAAAGATGGAAATCTCGAAAAGATCAGGGCGACAGAAAAAAAAAATGGGATCAGAAGACTTCAATGATCTGGAAGGAATTCTGCTATACCTAGCTATAATCGATTCTTCGGGGCTGTTTGAATGTCAGGCTTTAAGCCGGATTTGAAGCGGATTTGAGCAAAATCCAGCCAAACGGACAAAAATGCAAAACCAAATCTCACGGTAAATCAAAGCCGCGGTTGACAAAAAATTCCCACTTATCGCGGTAAATCTCGAATTTACGAAATCCTTTTGGTTCGACGGATTTACGTGATTTGGCCGAAGAAGCGCGCGAAAGGGAGAAAGTTACCTTCACAGCAAGCGAGCTCCCGTTGCTGCTTCAGATCAAAAAAATGTCGTAACTTCCGATCCAACAGGAAGGGAACGTCGTCGAAGGAGCAAAGTCGAACAGCGACGAACAAGAACTCGTGAAAAACTCTACGCTCATGCGAAGGAACACAGCCGAACAAAATATAGAAGGAAAAAGTAAAATCCTGACTCTTCTAATGGTTGGATAATTTAAAATATTAACAATTAAGTCAAATTAATTAAATAATATTTAAATTATTAGTTAAATACTTAGTTATTTCAAAATAATTAATAGGATTAAATACGATTTTAAATAAAAATAATTATTATAAAATATTATAAATAATAATTAAATAATTAATTAGTATTAAAATAATAATTAATATTAATAAAATTTTGTTATATTTTATTTAAATTTCTCTTGTCATACTTTAATTAGCCTAACAATTCATATCAACTCTTTTAACAACTTTAAATTCTAAATTGAATAGTTAAATAAATAGATATTTTAAAAAAATAACAAATTAATTTGATAAATATTAATATACTTATATATCAAATACTTATTAAATTAACACCTAAATAAATAATTTAATGAATAATATTATAATTTTTAATTAAATTATTTAATAATTAAGATAATTTCTAATTAAATTATATATCATTATAATTTATTGATCATAATTAAAATTAAAATTAACATGCAATTAAATTAATAACATATTAAATTTAATTTTTAAATGAACCTAACGCCTTAAATCCTGGATTAAGTTGCCAAGTAATTTCATAAGATTTAACAATTATTTTGTCAGACAATTTTCAGGATTTAATAGGATTTACTAAATCCTCAATTTACAATATTTACTAAATGCTACTAAAGTTAAATCCGACTTTTTCCAAATAGATACTTAAAATTCATTGGATATCAATATGAATCCACATGAATTTCATTTACTAGCAATCCCAATGGTCGAACCTAATATGTTAATCTGTTTTGATTTAAAAAAAAATCATAACTTATTAACCATAAAGTTTAAGATAAGATATTTTATCAAATAAAATTATATCCACAAGTTAAAAAAAAGTTTATTTTTATGTAAAAAATTAGTTTATGGGTCAACTCGAACTCTACAACAACAACAACAACAACATCAAGCCATTATCCCACTACGTGGGGTGGGCTAAATGAATCCTTTTTCTACATTGTGTCCTAATAAAAGTCAAATTCTCGCTTAAATCTAATAAAGAAAGGTCATTCCTAATATTTTCTAACCAAGTCTTTTTAGGTCTACCCCTACCTTTCTTAACATAAGTCAAATCTAATACCTCTACTCTCCTAACCGGGTCATCGGAAGGCCTCCGTTTTATGTGACCAAACCATCTAAGGCAACTCTCTCTAATCTTATCTTCTACTGGAGCTACTCCAACCTTTTCACGTATATGCTCATTTCGTATCCTATCTCTAAGGGTAAAGCCACTCATCCACCTGAGCATCATCATCTCTGCCACACTTAACTTAGCATTATGCTTCTCTTTTAATGGCCAACATTCGGCACCATAAAGCATTGCTGGCCTCACTACCATCTTATAGAATTTTCCCTTAAGTTTGAGGAGTACATTTCTATCACATAACAAGCTTGATGCATTCCTCCGCTTCAACCATCCAATTTGAATTCTGCTGATAATATCCTCATCTATTTCACCATCACTCTGAACAATAGATCCAAGATATCTAAAGCGTATACTCTTATTAATGACTTGATCACCCAAAGTCACAATCCCCTCACTAGGTCTACTCGAACTCTACCAGTTTAAAAAATAGGTTAGAAAATTCAACCAAAATCTTGATTCATAAGTCGGATTCGGATCGAGTTTAAAAGTCAAATCATTTATTGATATTCCTAAACTTAAGAAGAAAAAAACAAATTATATTATCTAATTTTAACTATACTTTTACTAATTTATTTGTATTGGTAAAATTTAATCAAATAAATTGATTTTGAATACATTAATTTAAGCCTTTTTTTTATTTAACATATAACTGTGATATTTTTTATGATAATTATGATTTCATTAGTGTAATTATAATTATAATTGATAATTATGATTTCATAGCTAAGTCCGGCCCCATAAAACATTAAAATTTACTGTTTGGTATCGACTATCGAGGATTTGCTAAAACCCTCGGTTCGGCGGATTTACGAATTCACAGGCAACCGGATTAAGAGCTTGCGCGCGAGCAAGCTCCCGTCGTGAAGCATTTAAGAGCTTGCCGCTTGTCCTCGCTGCCGGATCTCCCTCGTTGTAAAGTCTCCTTGCGGCCAGATCTCCCTTTCTGTTGCATCTCGTCGCTTCCGGGTTTACATAGTTGTCGCTTCTTCTTCACCTCGCTGCGGTTTCTCCTCGCGGCGGCTTCTTCCGTTGCTTCTCGTTGCCCCCAAAAGGCACTCTCTCCCACATATTCCCACAACCGAAAAGCAATACATTAGTTTTCTGAAGTTCTCTTCTCCCATCTGGAATCCGCCGTTCTTCTCGGGTAATTTATAACCTTTGCGTCTCTCCCTCTCTCTCTCTCTCTCTCTCTCTCTCCTCTCTCTCTCTCTCTCTCGATTTCTTAACACAATATTATCTCCTGAATTCTCTGGAACAACTCTCTCTCTCTCTCTCTCTCTCTCTCGATTTCTTAACACAATATTATCTCCTGAATTCTCTGGAACAAATATCAGAGAACATTATTTAATGATCATTGCCTTATACTTGAACCAGTGCTCACTGTTTGGCTGATTACAACAATCTTTGGATCATTAGAGGGGAAGTGAAAGGATAGGGTAAGCTCTAATATCTGTTTGTTTGGAATGAATTCGATGATATTGGTCTGGATAATTGTTTTCGTTCTTCTTTACTCTGGAGTGTGTGCGGGGAATTACGAACTAGGGGTATTTAATGAATATATGGGTTATCTTGGATGAAGATGTTGGAGAACTGAAGCTTTAGTGGAGGCACGGCAGAGCCAGGCCTAAATAATTAGTAGTATTATTAGCAGTATAATCAAACAATCTAATTTTATTTAATTGAATAATTAGCAGTATAATTATCATTAAATTAGTTTAATTAATATTTATAATTTATTGATTATGATAGCTATTAGTAGTATAATTGTCATTAGATTAGTTTAACTTTTAACTAATTAATTAAATCATTAGTATGAGTATTAGTGAAGTAATTTATATTTTCAAAAAATAATTAACTAGTCAATATTAATTTGTCATGTGCTCTTTATTGATTTTTCAGTTATAGTATATGAATTCAAGTTGAATTTTTTTGTTTTATGCAATTATCTTGTATTTATAATTATATTCTTAACATTTAAATTCCTAGCCGCCAAAATTCTTGAAATATGTAACCAAATAGTTTCTTAAAATTTAACAGGAATTAACATCTGTCATACCAAACAGTTTTCAGGATTTAAGATGATTTAAAATTTGTCATACCAAACAGTTTTCAGGATTTAACATCCTCAAGATTTACTAAATTCAAATTTCCAGGATTTACTAAATCCCACTAAAGTTAAATCCCTCTTGGTGCCAAATTGCCCCTGCAGCTGAGGAAACTGTTAGACCGGTCCACTGGACCGGCCCAGCCGGTCCGCACGGGACCGGCTCAGACGCGAAATGTCGCGTGATCTCCGCCTCCTGCGGAGATCGGGCGGGCCGACAGCTCAAACAGAGCATTTTAGGAAGGATTTTTGGGGGGGTTTTAGAGAGAAATTTGAATGTAGAGACTGTTTAGGAATTCCTTTTGATTTGCATGCATTAAATAGTTGATTTTTGCTAGGGTTTGGGGATCTTGAATTTGGCTGAAATTTGAGATCTCGTAGATTTAGGTTTTCTTTGGGCTCTAGTGGCGTCTAGAGATTTGGGAGAGATCGATCCTCCTCTAGAATTGAGGATCAATTGTATCTTGCTGTTTTTTATTCATCTACTAGTGAAATACAAGCTTTCCTTTGAGTTTTCTCTCAGATTTTACCGGACAAGTGCTGTTTTTCTGCTGTAAACAGCAGATTTCTGCTGTTTTCCTACTGTGGACAGCCATTTGGCTGCTGTTGGTTCGCCGATTTTGGATAGGTTGCTTGTGAATACAAGCACTTCCTATCAGAAACCCTCATCAAATTGCATCGAGCAATCCAAGGTTTCTCCGGTCTTACATATAAGTTTAGCTCTGTGTTAATCTTCTCGCTCTCCTAAGCAGCAAATTTGCAGTGCCCGCGCTAGCTGCTCTTGCACAGGCTCGACGACAATGGGTGTGGGTTGTCTCCATGTGAACTCTGCTTCGTCGACCACTAGAATATCAAGTTTTGATTACAATCAATACTCATGATGAGTTCATTGAAATTTTTATTGTTTTGGTAAATTGGCTTGTGAAGGATCGAACCGATCATTTCTAGTGAGTGTTTTTTTTCCACTCCTTTACATGCTACACGAGTGATAATATATTTTTAATCCTTTTTTTATGGATTTCTTTTTTGCTAATTTGATTTTTGATTTATGCGCATGTTTTGATAAATGAGTTCGCGATTCATTCACTTATTTTGTTGAATTGTTTCTAATATTTGAAATTCGTATTATTCATAAATTTAAGCGTGTTAATTTTTCTCCCTTTGTATTAGTGATTGGGAAAGAACAATTGGGTTCAGTAACTGAACATTTTTAGACCACCAATGAGTTCTTCTCATATGGCGATTCCTATATGGTGATCCCTTAATGTCGTCATGATCATCAACATCATTGAACCTTTGCCCAACTAATCGTGAACGGATTTATAAGTCCTCCTCCATTCATTTTTGTTGAGTATTGCATTTGGTGATAATTTTAGTTTTGTAGGTCTTTATTCACCATTTTTAGCCAAGTTTTTTTCATCCTTTCCTTTCTTTCCTATACGTGTGAGTTTGATTCTATCTTCCCACTTAAAATTTATTTCCAAACGTATACTTCTATGAACATATCCATTGGCTTCACTTTGGTGTGTCTTATGTTCTTGGTACTCACATTTTTTTCTCAATAGATGCTACTTCAAGAACACCCTAACTATTGAATCCAAAATTGTTTGTGGATCACACTGAAATTTTATTGAGAGTATTTAGTGAAAATAGAGCAATGAAATAAAGAGAGAAAGAGAGAATTTTAAAGTGAGAAGCTTTGAGATGTCATTGAAGTAGACTCGAACACAAAAAAATTGCATAAATTGATCTCTCCCATTGATCCCCTGTTTATAGATTTGAGTTGGCGCATAAATGGCTATACAAAATATAAAAAAAAATAAAAGAGTTGTGTATTCTAATTTCCCATAATGAAATATGACTGCTAAGTCGCAAGAATATCTGACTTGTGGAAGTCTTATGTCTATCTAGTAGGAAGTCCCTGACTTGGCATGCATGAGTAGATTGATTAATAGTTTCCCAAATAAAAAAAAGTTGTTCATATGAAGAATTGCTAGGGCTGACTTGATAGGTCATACTTACCTGCTTGGGACGAATTCATAGGTCATAGTCGTCCGCTTGAGGAAAATTTATTTATAAACTTGGCAATTTGCTTTTGATCTGCGATTGTGTTGACTTAACTTGAACTAGTCAAACTTGATTCGAATTCAATTTTTTGGATAATGGGTTTTACATTTGATTTTTTGATTCTTTTATATATTTTAAAGCTTATTACGAAAAGGATAAAATAATATAAAATTATTTTTTGCTAATTAATCATAAAACTTCATAAATTTTAATTTAATGTTGAATATTGGCCAATTAATTTGATTTTGACTTCTTCATTGTCCTTTTATCCACATCAGCTGATACTTAGATTATAAATATAAGATTGATATTTTCATTTGAAAGCTCTTTCTTTAATTTTTGCTTCACTTCTTCTTAAGCTTTTCAACTTCTCTTTCTTATAAGGAATGGAGGTTCAAAAGGATAAAATCAATATCTCCAAAGATGATTTCATAGCGAGATTATTTTGAAATGCAAGGAATAAGCTTCTTCTGAAAGAAGAATGTGAAGAAGAGAGTCAATTGAAAATATGAAAATAAAGGGCGAGATTTGAGAAATCGCTACTTCATCTAAAGTATTGGATAATTAGTATTCCTTTTCAGCTCTAGCGATAAAAACCGAGAAAGAAGGTAAAGTTGTATTTTCTGAAATATTATTATTATATGTAGTTTTCTTTGTACGAATCTAAGTGAGGGATTTTGAACTTTGATGGGGGCTTTGCCTAAGCATTCTCCCTTGAAAACTCATTTGTCAACTACGACTTTGTCTTCTTAGCCCATCTTTCTTCTTGATGAAAGTTGAAGTTGGTTCCTCATTGACAAGATAATAAGTCTCATCAGCTGGTGGAGTAGAAGTCAATGCTCTGTATCCAGAAAGTCTTCTTCTCCACACAACAAAAGCAAAAGTTCTTGTTGGCAGCTCCACTCGAGTGGATCTTCAAATTCATTCCTATGAGTCATTCTTGCCATCCTCTATTCAAAATTTGCGGCATATGGTAGCCTTGCAATTCTTCTCTATTGCATGACACTCATTGAGTTCTTAGTGATATTTATTTGTTTTATTTAATTTTTAGTGTTTTGTGAATTTGAATTAAATGCTTTTAAATAATATACTTTGCTTGTATTGAACTTTATTTTATTGCATCCCTAATACTCTGTGTATGAATTTGCAGAAGTATTTCATTTTTGGTCATAATGGCCCATAATAATTCCACCCAAGTAGTTAGCATTGTCATAACACTTCACATGAAAATCTTGTCTTTAGTTTTTGCTAAACAACCTTCAGCTTTGCTCATAAACATATCTTACAATAGTTTTAGCCGTAGTTGCTTTAAACCACAATAGTTTCCTCGCAATAGTTCCACCAAATACTTAGTGCTTCTGTTTCAAACTGCCATGAGAAGAGGCTTTGTACCCTCTCAGCTATCCAAACTTAAATTCTCCAAATCCTTCTCGAGAAATGTCATATTTCCTTTCCACTCAAACCAATCTACCCCAAGCACTCACCTCAAATATTTTACACATGCAAAATTCCATTTTTTTGTCACCCAAAATCCTATACATGTCCATTACCAACCATGCCTTTTCCACCGAGCTATCCAAACAACTCCTGCCCACTTTTCTCATATTCTATCACCTCAGAGCCAACAACCTGACCTTGAAGATGCCCTCGACTTTTCCAACAACACTGAGGAGCTTTTGATTACCTTCAAGGCATTGGAGGCCACTCTTAGTGACAATGATCAGAGGCTTGGCTTAACTTGTCTGAAGGTGGGAGAGATTTTGCTCTCAAAAGGGTCCAAGGAGTTAGAGAAGGCCCTGAGCTTTGTCATTAGGGCTTTGGAGATATTGGGAAGAAATGATCGGGGAGGATCTATTCCATTGGTGAAAGCTTTGCGCCTTGTTGGCTCAATAAGCTGCAAGATGAAGAGATTTGATGAGAGCTTGGAGTCTTTGGAAACTGCATGCCAAATTCTGGATAGCTTGGAAGAAGAAGGATTTAGTGGTAAAGAGTTTGATTCTGAGAAAATTTCTATTCAACTTGAGCTTGCAAACACGAAGAATGCAATGGGTCGGAGGTGGGATGCTTTGATTAATCTCCGAAGGTCTTTGCAGATGCGCCTGTTGGTTCTAGAGCCTGATAGTCTGTTGTTAGCTTCAGCCTGTAAAGATGTGGCTGAGGCATATACTGGGGTTTTGGAGTTTGGTGAGGCACGACCGTTGTGCTTGAAGGCATTGGGGATCTTTGAGGCAAAAATAGGCAAGAATTGTGAGGAAGTTGTTAAGATTAGGCAGCTTCTGGGGGCCATTCATGTTGGGCTCGGGGAAAATGAAGAAGCTTTGGTGCAGAATGAGCTGTGTCAACGGATCTTGTTGAGTTTGAATCTGGAAACTGAGCTTCTCAACATGGAGATTGAAGCAGCTAACATAAAGGTTAACCTTGGTAGATTAGGTGAGGCAATGAGTACTCTCAAGGGGGTGATTCAAAAGGTGGGAAAAGAGAGTGAGACCAGAGCTTTTGCTTTTGTATCTATGGCAAAAGCTTTGTTCTTTCAAGAGAGGTTTGGAGACTCAAAAGGTTGTTTGGATATGTCTTGTGATATCCTGAATAAGATGGATTCATCATCCGAAAAAGTTGCTGAGGCATTATTGGAGATTTCTATGTTGTATGAGATGATGAATGAGTTTGAGACTGCTTTATCTCTAATGAAGAGAACACTTGCATTGCTTGAAAAATTTCCACAAGAGCAATACCTGATGGGGAGCATTTTTTCAAGGATAGGTTGGCTGCTTCTCTTGACAGGTAGAGTCCAGCATGCTGTACCATCTTTGGAGAGTGCGATAACCAAGCTGAAGAATAGCTTTGGGCCAAAGCATTTTGGCTTGGGATTTGCTTATAAACATTTAGGGCAGGCATATTTGGAGACGGACAAGGTTCAGTCAGCCATACAGATGCTTTTACTGGCTAAGGACATCTTGGAAGCCTCTTTTGGGCCACAGCATGAGGATTCCATTGATACTTGTCAGTACATTGCTAATGCATATGGAGTTTCGCGAAGGTATATCTTCTTTTATCAAGTTTTTTAACTGCTTATTTTAGTTTTTATGGGTAAATCATATATTATATTCTTGGTTTGAATGCTTGGGGTTACCAGCATAGTGATAGTTAAGATGGTAATCTATAATGATGTGATTTTTAAAATTTACTCACACCAAACCAAGATAACAACATTTCACAACCTTGTTGAATGTGGATAATTTTAATGATACTCTTTTAAGTTTAATGAAACGTTTGTCAATGCTCATCTATTTATTTATGCATTCATTTTAAATGAATGAACATCCTATGATGCATGAACATAAGTTTGATGATACTCTTTCAAGTTAAATGAAGAGTTCAACAATGCTTTATATCTTCATTTATGCATTAATTTTAAATCAATGAATATCCTATGATACCCATTGCCTTATACTTGTTAAGATACGTGTTGAGTGTTTTCCATATTTTTGTTGACTCGAGGAATGCTTAACAGCTAAACTTGTTATGCTTGTATTCTCTATCCATGAGCTCAATATCATGTATGCTCACAAATTAATCTCAACATAAAGAATCGTTCTTGCTTATTGAACAATTTTGCAATGCATTGATTACTTATTCTTTTTATATTAGCTCTCCTACTTTTTTGTAGGCTCTACTTGAAAGCCATGCATCAATTAGCCTTTTATATATCCCCTCCCTCAAATGCTCATATTACCAATTTTTATTTAAGTTTCATTTCCTACTTAGAAGTACTAAGGCAAGCATTATTAGAAGGCTTTTCCATTAGCTTGTATTTTACCTCTTAAGATGTTTCATACGTCAAGATTTCGTGTTTTCAATGGAAAGGCACCTCAAGGACATGGACAATGCGTTGGCCTAGTTCTTGGAAATTTGTCAGTGACACGTTTCTTCATGCAGGCCTTTTACCACTCAAGTCTAGATTTTAGACACTCAAACCTTATACTCCAGTTAGCGTATCATATGTTAATCATGGTTATCCTTGGGTTCCTTGATGCAGCGTCGACTGTCGATCGGAAAGGATGCCGGAGGGATCAACGACTGGAACCTGAAAAGAGCATTAGCAAAACAAAAACAAGAGAGAGAGGGTCGGAAGGACAGGGAAGAAGAGATAGTTAGGTGTATGTAGTATTGATTTGTTTTGTAAAAAGATGTCTACATTTCCTTTGCCTCTTCTATTTGTATCCTCCTGTGGCTGTACTAAATGAGCATAACAGCTAAAAAGATATATTAGTACTATAATGCAGGAAATAAAAAATAAGGTAGTGGCTAGAGCCAAAAGTTTGTTATAAGGGTAAGTTGTCCAGTAGACCTCCCATGCTAAAGTGTGCCGCATCAGTCCTCCCCTGGATTGGAAGAGCTCGAGAAACGTTAAAGGTTGGTGAGGTGTGGCAATCAGGTGGTAAAGCAACAATATAGGCATTGTCGTTTATCTTTGTAATGATGGGCACGGGTCCAATTTTGCGGTGAGAGAGCTTAGAATACGTTCCGGGGGTGAATCGTTCGCGACGCAAGCGGACCCAAACTAGATCGCCACAGAGAATAAACGTGGCCTGCGTTGTCTGTCTGCGGCTTCTTTATATTTGACATTGGAAGTGATGATTTGTTGACGGACATCGGCAAGCATTTGAGAGTAATTATCGGCAAATGAAGTCGCAGTGGCCAGATTGCACTTGGGAAGAATTGCAATATCAAGTGCGATGTTAGGAGATTTAGTTTAAACAATGCTAAACGGAGTTTTACCTGTGGTGCGTTTGGTCATTGAGTTGTAAGCAAATTCGGCTTTGCTTAAGTTCTCCTCCCATTGTCTCGGGTGTTCTTGTACCAAGCACCTTAGCATAGTACCCAAAGTGCGATTGACCACCTCCGTTTGGCCATCCGACTGTGGATGGTAAGCCGAGCTGAGACGAATCTCGGTCCCCAATCGCTTCCATAATTCACGCCAGAAGTGGTTGATAAACTTGACGTCGCGATCGGACGTCAGACTGCGGGGAATTCCATGTAGTCGGACAACTTCAGTGAAGAATAGTTGAGCAATGTTCATGGCATTAGAGGTCTTCTTACAGGAGACGAAGTGTGCCATCTTCGAAAATTTGTCAACGACCACCATTATCGAATCGTTTCCCCTTTTAGTCCTCGGCAGACCCAATACAAAGTCTAAACTTAAGTATTCCCAGATGGAGTCTGGAACAAGGAGGGGCATGTATAGACCCGTGTTTTGAGCTCCGCCTTTATACATTTGACATATTGGGCAACTGTCAACAAAACGAAGTACATCCCTTCGCAGTCGCGGCCAGAAAAAACGACCCTGCAGCTGGCGAAGCGTGTTATCTCTCCCTGCGTGAGCTGTAAGAGCTCCTCCATGTGCCTCTCGGATCAGTTGTTGTCGCCATGAGGAGACCGGTATGCACAGCAGGTTTTTTTTGTGAACAAATAGCCATGGCGTATGGAGTAATCCTCTAGTTGTTGCTCTGCCTGACATTGCTTCCAAATACTACCAAATTCCGGATCTTCATCGTATAGGTCTCGGAGGCATTCGAGACTGGTAATTTGAGTTTGCATCTGGATCAGCAAACTGCGTTTTCGGCTCAAAGCGTCAGCCACACGGTTGTTGACGCCGGGTTTGTGCTTGATTGTAAAAGAAAACCGTTGTAAGAACATTATCCAGCGAGCATGCATTCGATTAATGTTCTTTTGGCTATTGATATATGAGAGTGCCTTGTTGTCGCTACAGAGGATGAAGTCTTGGTGTAGTAAATATTGTTCACATTGCTTTAAGGCCTGGACAATGGCATAGAGTTCCAGCTCGTAAGCTGCCCATTTCTGCCGCGTCGGGGACAGTTTTTCACTGAAAAAGGCTATGGTTTTATCGGTTTGGGAGAGCACAGCACCAACCCCATTAGCCGAGGCGTCCGTATCAATAGTAAAGGGCTTGTCAAAATCTGGTAGCGCCAAGACGGGGGCCGAAATGATGGAACTCTTGATCTGCTCAAAGGCTTGTTGTTGCTGCTCGGCCCAAGTGAAAACCTTAGATTTGAGGGAATCTGTAATGGGCGCCATGATGAGGCTAAAGTTTTTGATAAACTTACGGTAGAAGTTCGCCAAGCCGTGAAAACTCCTGATCTCCGTAAAAGTTTGAGGTACCGGCCATTCGGTGATGGCTTCTATTTTCTTCGGGTCCATTTGCACGCCTTCTGCCGAAACAATGAATCCCAGGAAATACACTTGGGAGACGCCTAGTTCACATTTTGGTAGGTTGAGGAACAACCGCTGCTTCTTCAATACTTCAAATAGAGCTGCCAAATGACTTATGTGATTCTTCCAAGTTGTAGTATAAACGAGTATGTCGTCAAAATATACAATGCAGAATTTCCCCATAAATGGCTTTAGAATTTCATTCATCATCCTCATGAAGGTCGGCGGTGCATCGCACAATCCAAATGGCATGACCTTCCATTCGTATAGCCCTTGCGGCGTTTTAAACGCCGTCTTCCACTCGTCGCCTGGACGAATACGGATTTGATGGTAGTCGCTCCGGAGATCCAACTTAGAGAATATAGAAGAGCCCGATAATTGATCCATCAATTCTTCAATGCGAGGCACCGAGAATCTGTACTTGATCATTATCTTATTGATTGCGCGACTGTCGACGCACATCTGCCAACTCCCATCCTTCTTCGGAACGAGTAGAGCCGGTACGGCGCAGGGGCTTATACTCGGTTGGATTGACTGTTTCACAAGCAAGTCATCGATCAATCCTTGCAAAATTTGCTTCTCCTTAGGATTCAAGCGGTAGTGCGGTAAGTTGGGCAAACTGGACCTGGGTGACAAGTCTATACAGTGCTGGATATTCCTCAACGGGGGCAGTTCGGCGTGCAATTCATCTTGCGTCAAATCCTGGTAATGCTGTAGAAGCTGGCCGATCTCCTTATTGATACTCGTCTACTTGGGGCCTGTGCTAGGCTCTGTGAGTAGAAGGGCGAACAGGGGAGACGGTTCCCGCCAGCATTGCACCAAGTTGCGGCCCGTGACTAGGTGCATGGCTGCTTGTTTAGATGAGCTAGTTTTAGCACTTATGTTGTCAGCACAATGGGGTAACAGACGGAGACGTCTTCCTTTCCATTCAAGAGTGTATATGTTGGCTCGGCAATCGTAGACGACGCCCGCGTCAAATTGCCAAGGCCTCCTCAAAATAAGGTGGCAGACGTCCATGTCTAGGACATCGTAGACCACTTCGCAAACGTATTGTTTGCCTATACAAAAAGTCACTCTGCAAGAGTCTTTGACCGCAATATCAATTCCCCTTTTGACCCAAGTTATCTTGTAAGGATTTGAATTCTTGGTTGTCTTCAGCTGTAGACTTTGAATGATTGACCGTGAAATTACATTTCTAGTACACCCACTGTCAACTAGAAGGTCACAAACCTTCCCGTTTATGGTGCATCTTGTCCGAAAAAGAGCTTGACGTTGGGATGGTGAGTTCTGCCTAGGTGCCAGCAACAATTTCTCTAAAATGCACTCCAAAGGTTCGCCGTCGTCAGCTACCACATCATCTGTTTCCGGATCTCCATCAATTTCAGCCTCGCAGGGTTCCCCTCCTTCGGAGCCGTCGGCCAGGTGAGCTTGTGGTCGTTGTGGACATTCATTTGACTTGTGTCCGGGCTGAAAACAACGAAAGCACTTAAGCGTAGAAGGCATAGCGTAAGGATTTTCTTTACCTGGGGGCCGTGGTTTGCTCAGCTGTTTTGGTTCGGCTCCCGAATTGGCAGCAGGCGCTGGAGGTGTAGGTAAGAGAGGCAGTTGCTGGGTTCGTGCTGATTGTGGGGTGAATTTACTGGACCCTGCCGTCGGGTCCTGCCATTGACGTCTAGCGGTAGACACCTTTAACTGTATGCTCTGCTGCATTTCTACCTTGAATGCGAAATTGACAGCTTGTGCCATAGACCAAACCGCGTTTAGTTCCAACTTATTATGTATGCTGTTTTTGAGACCGCCAATATA